TGGGATTTGGGATTTGGGATTTTGGCATTTGGGATTTCGGCATTTGGATTTTGAATTTGGGTGGCAGGTATAGTTAATATGTAATTCTGATTATTCGATTTTTACATACCTTGTCATACCCAAAATTTGAATCGAAAAAGCAGTAAATATAGGTACTATGGTTAAGTCTCAAAATAATAAGTGTAAAATGATGGGTAAGTTTATCGATAATCCCTCCCAGTATATAAAGTTACATAATCCTCATAAATATAAGCACACATATGATTCAAAAAATAGGTTTGTTATAGTCAAGAATATACGTAAAGATAGTGTAGTGGGAGTGTTCGATTATTCTGAATTATATGTATATTTAAAAATGCACCACCTGACGCTCCTGACATAATTCCATTTCAACTACATTAATAAACCACGATAATCGAATTTTTTATGTCGACGTTTCTATTACCCGTGATCAAAGCATTAATATGGATGCAGAGTCGATCATGAGGAGTTAACTTTATTTTGGAAAAATTGATAGAATTGATCTCACAAATTTCATGTGATTCAGTTTCTATATAGAAGTTTGTGGAACATTCTTGTACAGCATAGATAATCGTTATACATATTTTTTTCGTTTTATTTAGCTTGAGAAATACATATACTTTTTGATAAGAATATGCTAAACGAAACTCAAAAAGGATATAAGAAAAAATAGACCGTTAATGTTTTATTAGTAGGATTAACAAAAACTCCAAGTTATAGGGAGTCGAGATTACAAGATTGCGAGATCGTCAAGATTTAACCTTATCAGAACGATCGTTTTATTTAAATGGAATTCATTCTCCTTAATAACACCAAATATATATATATGTTTCAGCTTTGTTGAATTCTTGACGTTTCGTTACATATGACGATATAACAAGTTTACTTCAATCTCGCTGGTTTTATAATTACTATATTAAGAATGAACAAATCGTAAGTAGACTCATCGGAGATTTGAGTGATAAAGGTAAGATTCCTCTAGCGAGTTTTGAATTTCGTGAAGTATATAAATAAGTAGGTTTTGGGAGACTCTGTTCTTACTCACATTTTTTTAAGATACACATAATCTTGAAGAAATATTACATCGCATCAATTCAGGTATTATTTACAAGAAATTATTTATCTATACAAGAAATTTTACTCACTATGAATCTTCATTTTAGGAATCACAAAAATGTCTGACATTATTAGTCTCAACTTTCGTATTCATGGTAATACAAATGATGAAGAAGTTTTTGTAATCAAAATTCCTAAAGAAAAAAAGGTCGATATGCTCAAACCCTTGGTAAAGAAATAATTAGCACCCCTAACAAATAATATTCCTTCTACAAAAATCAATCTTCAAACAACAAGTGGAATGAGAATAAAAGTAATGACAAAAATTTCTAATTATTATAACAGAGATATTAATGAAAATGAAATTCACGTTTTAGTATTTCTCCCTGAATAAATAGATTTTTTATTGGATAATATCTGTGCATTTCATGAATATGTATTTGCAAATTTATTTTTATATCAGCCTTACTACAGGCAATATTTTTTATTTTGTTATAATAAAATAATTGCATATCAGATGTAGCTGTCTATTTAATTGTCACGTGCATTTCATTATGTGGATCGAAGTTATCACTGTTTTTTGCTGATCTGTCATACAAATATGAGTCACCCAATTTTAGCTATATGCACTGTGTTCAATTTTGTAAAAAGGTTCAATTTGTCATTACACATTGCAATGAGGCTTTGCCTCTACGTATTACGTTGCACGTTCTCATTGCACGTGACGTATATTCGAGACGCACGGAGTACGATGTTTCCGACACTTAACGCGAGTGCAGAGCCGAAGTGACTTTTATTCCGAAATAGGTGCATACTACATCTAAATTAAGTAACAAACAAATTATCGAGTGATGCAAAGGAAATTGTCAATTATCGACGATATACGCACAGACGATTTTATAGGTGAGCGATTTTCCGATGCACAATTTTCGGCATAAATAGTACGAAGACATCATATTTTGTGATCGCTGGCAATTTATTACTTCGATTTAGTACGAAAAATAAAGAACCAATGCTATGGATAGCTGATGCTGAGTTTTAATGTATAAAAACATGTCGATATCGCTGGAGTCTCAGGTAAGGGATTGAGTCATACCAAACGTCAAAATCAATAATTAATCGATTTATCAATTGCAAAGCAAATAACTACGAAAAAAATGCAACTTAACATTTCCGATATTTTTTTATTTGCGATTTTCATCGCTGTAATCGTCATCTACGAACTATATAATCGGAGCATTTCATTTTTTTATATGCAATATCATGTGTAAGTACCAAAAAATGAATACCACATGATATACAGTGTGGTGATAACCAATTTAAAACTGAATACACGCGTTCTTTTCTATTGTTTTTATTGTTTCGTAAACCCGTAACTTATTCAAAACCCATGTCCGAAACTAAGGCAGTATAACGGATAAATGTTCATTTTTTTTGTGGCTCCAACATAAACATAACTTTTGATTCATTTATTACTAGAAGGTACATAAGTATTTCGAAAGGACACCGTCGAAGTGGAATATTACTGATTTCATGGACGAGTGCGCCCTAGAACCGTTTGATCGTATAATAGAATTTTATATTTCATCTCTTGAGATCATTAACGACACGAAGGATGGCAAAGCGCGCGACAAGGCTCAACTTTTGTTGAATAGATATAGAAAGGCAAGCACAAGTTTTTTTTTGTTGAAGATGCAGTAATTAGTGGCGTGGTAAGGCTCTTCGGGGGCTGTTACCATTCAAGGCTTCGGGCTGAGCCACAAAGCCAGTGTTGGGGCACTGGGAGCTTCGGGTTCGTCCAGTGTTCAAGCCTTCGGGGTGACTCAGCATTGGTCCTCCTGGGGTACTAGGGAGCTTCGGGTTTTGCCTAGTACTCAATCCTTCGGGGGCACCAGGAGGGATAAAAATAAGATGATGATATCAGTTGAAAATGTCACTAATATTTCTTTTCTCTAGGGTAATCGTCCGGATTATAAAGTAGCGAGAAAATGGAAAGAATCTAAGGAGCGTGATTTAGCCAGTGGACCTTCGGTTACAATTACAGGTAGCACTGTACAAGTTGGGTCTGTTGTTGGAGTTAACAAAGGAACTTTTGATACAAAACTTATAACGAGCGAAGAATTGGTAGGTCCTTAAATCACAATTAGATAGTCTTTTCTCTTTATACCTATCATTTTATGATACTGGCCTTATATCTCTGTAGGAGGGAGAATCTTCTACGAATAAATCCAAAAAGAGAAAACCTGCTCGCTCTGATGATAATTTGACCGAGACTGATGACAGTGAAGTAAGTAGACATTATATGGTTATTATGTAGTCCATTTTTTCTAACCAGAGTGGTGTATTTTTTATAAGTGCTTTCCCAGTGATGATCTTGATTTCTCCGGTTCAGATCGTGACGAGAAGGTAAGTAATATACCA